TACAGGGGAAGAGGCTGTCCGACAACGAATCTGACAATCGAGACTCCGGCCGGCGCGCGGTTAAGAAGCCGCGCACTCGACTTACGCCACCCCGCAAGATCGACCTCGGTCCCTTCGCCAGGCCTACATTTCCACCGAGGCTCGCCGACGGTTTGACATCCCCGTTATTTTTCTCCCACAAGCATCGGCCGCTTATCGCTAGGCCTCCTAGCCTTTCCGGATTCGAAGGCGCGACGATGTTAAGGAGTGTGCGGGATAGTACGGAGGTGACGACCCTGAAGCTCGCTCGGGGCACGGTGAGCTCTGCAAGCCCTGCAAGATCGACCGGCACGCCGAATAGCTGGACTTCGACCGAAGGGAACTCCGCGCGAAGTCCCGAGTCGGTCGCCCCCACGCCCGGATTACAAGCGCTGCAAGGCATAGGCGTTCTTGAATTGTTGGACCGCGATGATAGGCCGACATTTGTCGCTGATAGCTTGAGCCCCGTCGCCAACAGCCCCGAACCATTGTCTATTCTGTACGTAAATCCGGCGCTGCAGGTTTCCGATACGATACGTCATATGCTCTCCGGAGACTTCGGGGACAGCACGGAAGCGCGGGGTGAATTCGAGGGCTTCAAGACGTGGGTGAAGACGGGCGGTAGTAACGCGGACGGGTTAGACGTCTTCTTACCTTCTTATCATTATGGCGGGATTGATTGGACTTGCTCGACTCTTAGGAACCGGTACCGGTTCGTTAGTGCGAACATGAGCGCTGCCTCGATCCCACGAACTTCTCCTGAACCGCTATTGGAACGAGAAGCTAGTGTCGCCTCGCGGGCTCGTGAAATAACGCCGCCTGCTCTACCCAAGACACCCAGTGATATTGAGTTGCCTGATCGTGATTACTTTGGTAGTGCGGAACCGCCTGAGCTAGACGAGCAAAGCCACCCAGATATAAGTAGCGACACCATTGGAGATAATGTGCCGTCACATCGTGATGGGATGTCACCTGGAATAGTCATCCCGTCGGCGGTGTCGCAGCCGTCTTTCGATTGGACGCGGATACCGATCACTGACGATCTCCCGGAACACATACAATTCGCTCGCTCGAGAGATTGGGCGTCGACACCGCTCGGACCCATCGAACATTGGTCTCCAGAACTGCGCGTCATGGCTAATTTAGTTATGGGTAGTCCGAATCCCACAGCGATGTATTGGGGCTCGGATCTCACCACGATATACAACGAAGCATACGTCGCCCTGGCTGGCGCGAAGCACCCGAGACTTATGGGCCGGAGTTATAAGGAAATTTGGAGCGAGATTTGGTCCGAGTTGGAACCCATATTGGAGAGCGCATGGAAATCCGGTCAAGCGACATTGAAGAATGACGATCGTCTCATTCTGCGTCGAAACGGGTTCGACGAGGAAACGTTCTTTTCCTGGTCTATCGTACCGCTTGTTGGCCACGATGGTTCCGTCGTCGGTCTATTCAATCCCGCGTTCGACAACACGAGGCGAAAGATTGCTGAGCGGAGAATGCTTACGCTTCGCGAAGTAGGAGAAAAGACCGCATTGGCTCGCGACGTCAAGAGTTTCTGGAGCCAGGTCAATAAGGGCCTGGACTACAACGAAGAGGACGTGCCGTTCAACTTAGTCTATTCAGTTACGGAGGAGTCCGAGAGCGACGTATCGTCGATGCATTCAGGTAGTTGGGTAAACCCGCCTCTGCTGCAGCTTGAGGCTTCTCTCGGTGTGCCTCAAGGCCATAACCTGCTTGTCGAGTCCCTAGATCTAAGAACAAGTAACGACGGTTTTGCTCCGTACATGCGGGAATCCATGTCTAACCAAGGTCAGCCGGTTATTCTATCTGCGAAGGATGGATCGTTGCCCGAAGGTCTTATGGATGGGTTGGCTTGGAGAGGCCCGGGAGACCCGTGCAAATCTATCGTCATCTTCCCAGTCCATCCAACTACGGGTAGTGAGAGCGTTGTCGGTTTTATAGTGATGGGCGTTAACCCGAGACGGCCATACGATTCAGACTACCAACTGTTTATCAACCTACTGTCGCGGCAGCTTGCAACTTCGCTGGCATCGGTTGTCCTCTTCGAAGAAGAGATACGTCGTGGTCAAAGGGCGGCTCAGATGGCAGCAGCGGATCGTCAAGAACTGACTGAGCAGTTACATCTACGAACGCAAGAGGTTCAAGAAAGCGAACTCAAGTTCACCAGGATGGCCGAGTTCGCTCCCGTGGGCATGTTTATCGCTAACCATCTGGGTCACATTACCTACTGCAACGACATGTGGTGGGATATATCCAGGCATAATAGGTCGCAGAGCGTAAACGCCTGGATGGAGAGCGTGAAAGATGAGGACCGACCCGCTTTACAAACAGTATGGCATTACTTGCTCTCGGACAAGGTTGCGATCACCCACGAGTTCAGGTTCAAATGCTCCCGTCACGAAGGGGAAAACGTAATAGACACGTGGGTGTTGATGAGCGCGTATCCAGAGAAAGACGCAAACGGCGGCATCAAGGGAATTTTCGGATGTGTTACGAACATATCCCAGCAGAAGCTAGCCGAGCAGATTCAGATGCAGCGACGAGAGGAAGCGGTCGAGCTCAAGAGGCAGCAAGAGAATTTCATCGACATCACAAGTCACGAGATGCGGAACCCGCTGAGCGCAATTCTCCAATGCGCAGACGAGATTGCCGGAAGTCTAGCGAGCTTGAAGACGTCGACAGACAGTGAGAAAGCGGAGCAACTTAAGCTCGCGATAGAGGGTTGCATGGAAGCCGCAAACACCATTACACTCTGCGCAAGCCACCAGAAGCGAATAGTCGACGACATCCTGACGCTTTCCAAGCTAGATTCGCAACTCCTGCTCGTAACTCCAGTCGACGTGCAACCGCTGGCCGTTGTACAACGCGTTCTCAAGATGTTTGAGAGCGAGTTGAACACGAATGGCATCGTGATGAAATTTCAAGTGAAGAATCGGTACCTCGACATGGGCATCGACTGGGTCAAACTCGATCCTTCACGTCTCCTGCAGGTCTTGATTAACCTGATGACTAACGCTATCAAGTTCACGCAATCACGTCCTGCGCGATCAATCGTGGTGACCCTAGATGCCTCGAGTAAAGTAGCGGAGAAGACAGCCTCCGGCGTTGAATATTTCCCCAGTGACCGCGCTGACAAGGAGGATCTTACCGATCAAGCGGATTGGGGCACCGGGGAGAAGATCAACCTTCATTTCTCCGTTCAGGATACTGGCAGGGGCTTAGATGAACATGAGAGGAAGCTATTGTTCCAACGCTTCTCGCAGGCTACTCCCAGAACTCACGTTCAATATGGTGGCTCGGGATTGGGATTGTTCATCTCTAGAATCTTGACGGAATTGCAAGGCGGGCAGATCGGTGTAACATCTCAGAAGGGCATCGGCAGCACATTTTCTTTCTACATCCAGAGCAGAAAGACGAACACTCCGTCGCCCGAGACGCATCCCCTGCCACCTGCTCCGCCACTCACTCGTGCGCCAGGATCGTCGACGACTATCGAAACGCGACAGCCAAAGAATGCCTCTCAGCAGATGGTCAAAGGCGCCGCCAAGACAAATGCTTCCAAACCACGATTCTCGGAAGACGGCCGCCGTCTATTCGACGTTCTAATCGTCGAAGACAACCTCGTAAATCAGAAGGTGCTGCAGAGATCGCTGCGCAACGTGGGAAATAGCACCAAAGTGGCTAATCACGGAGGCGAGGCGCTAGAGGTATTGCAGCAATCACGATACTGGAACGGAAAGGAGGAATCCGGTGACGATATCTCAGTCATCCTAATGGATCTGGAAATGCCGGTTATGGACGGTATGACCTGCGCTCGCAAGATTCGGGAGCTCGAGAAAAACGGGACGATCGTCAGCCACATCCCCATCATCGCCGTCACGGCATATGCAAGGCCTGAGCAAATCGAAAATGCCAAGGCCGCGGGAGTTGTAAGTCTTTTTATTATATCATGAGACTGTGTATGCCGTAAATAAACGACGATGCTAACCGCACATGTAGGACGACGTCATCTCGAAGCCATTCCGTATGCCCGAGCTCATCCCCCGCATAGAGCAGCTGGTCGCAATTCACACACCGTCGTATGCCGAAGCTACGGTAGCATGATCGACCGTCAGCCTTATACAGGCGGTAGCATCTTGATATTTCCGAGCACATTATTACAGTCACTCTCTCATCAACCACCATGATTGGCTCGCAAATCACTTCATGTTTTTTCTACGCAAGGCGTTTGGCTCCCATTAGGCCCGGATACGGAAGGCCCCCGTTTTTTTGGTTTTTTTCTTTTCTTTTTTTCTGTTGAAACCAGGCCAGGTATCATATGATCCAAAAAGTTTAGGAAAGCATTACTTTATATTTCTCATCATCACTGCCACTATATATCCACGTCTCCACGGAGATATATGGAATAAGCCGGAAAGTTGGGACCACGTCTTTTTATATATAGAATTTTACAGAACGGTACGGGATACTGGTCTACCGGCGAAACCAGGAGCACATGCTTAAACAACGCGATACACGTACACGAGGAGTCGGGGATTGTTTCAAGGTACAGGGGAAAGGGCCACCACGCTCACACTCAAACAGCAAAGAAAGTTGATGTTGGTTTATACCATTTAATTTGCGAGCTGCTGCTACCTCCTTACTCGGGGTTTGGCCCGGCACGAAGCAAGTAAGCAGCCGCAGAAATAAGATCACAACATACCTACTATTTATCCAAGCGGCCTTAGCAAGCTAACAGCGAAACGACGGGATATGAATTTTACGTTGAATAATATATCCTAGACTCCGCCTGCTCACGCACGCAATTCACACATATATATAGTAAATCTAAATCACAGTTGACCACAAAACATGCACTACTACTGCTTAAAGCAAGAATGACTAGATAATTACCTATATACTGCTGTAGCAACAATAATGCTCAGAATTCTTTGAAGAGTACGAAGAGGGATAGCAAGGGTCAACTGGTGTAGAGGTTTATCACGTCTGTCTCACACAATCACATATTGTGAAGGGCACAGAAGGTCGCAGGTTCGAACCCTGCGTCGACCAGCTTTTTGGGGTTTTGAGGAGTTTTAGCTTCTTGGTTTCTTAAACTTCTCGACTTTTGGTCTTTTCGCCTTCCTAATTTATACCTAAGGTAAGCTTGAGGTCATATATCTACTTATATATCCAGTTCCCAAATCTCAATACCGACGCCAACAACCACAACCTTCCTCCTCCTTCGGTCTTCTTTTGCCCTCTCGCTCCTTTCGCCACTCACCCCATGTCCATCTTCATATCCATATTTTTCTTCCCCGTCCGTATCTACCTCATCAAAGACCTCCAGGTCCCCAGCATCAGCAACGGAGCTATATCTCTCCTCAAGCAGCTGCGCCCTAGACTGCCGCTGCTTCCAGCCGCCTAGTCGCCAGAGTCTAACGCGCTGGTCGTTGCTAGATGTGACGACGAGCACGTTGCCGTCTTTACTTTTCCCGTCCGGCGGAGCGAGCGCCACGCCCGTGATGGCAGCCGCGTGCGCGGAGCGGACAATGGACTTGCTCTTGATGACAACGTCGGGACCTTCGGCGGTAGAGGGGAAGAGAGAGAGGGAGATGTGAGTGAAACCTAAGGCGTTGTCGTCGCCGCCCGTGACGACGATGTACTCGGACGATCCGGAGGTGGAGACTACCTGCCGTACATCGAGAGACTTGATGGTGTTCTGGTGCAGTTTCGTGACAACAGGTACGTTCTCAGCTTCTATAATAGTAGTACCATTGCTATCTTTGCCTCCGCCAAACCCCACGATAGCATAAACAGCCAGATGTCCATCCGTCGCCGCCGTCAAGACATGAGCGTCACCCAGATGCCGAATCTGCGTAAGACATGCCCCCGTATACGCCGACTTTCCTACAGGACGGAAACCCGCTTCTTTCGTATACGCATACGTCTGCAGCGTCGAATTCGACAGCGCCATAGAGATGCGGAACCCGTCACGTGCGTCGTAGCTGACGTCGAAATCCGTGATGCGCGCGTCGCCCACCGCGGTGCGGTCCGGGAACACGGCCTCGCACACGACGGCGAGCCCCGCGAAGTCGTCGCTGTCGAGGCGCCTGACCCGCCACGCGAAGAACTCCTCGTTGCCGGCGCTGCTGAAGAGGTGCTCGTCCCCAACCCACTTGAGGGCCTGGATGCCGGCGGCGTGCTTCTCGAGTGCGGCGACGCAGCGCAGGTGCTTCTCTCCATTACCATTTCCATGTCTATCGTCAAGTTCCTTACCAGCGCCGTACTCCCAGATGCGAATCACGGTATCCTCAGCCGCCGTAGCGATATACCGACCCGATGCGGAAACGCTTACAGTCTTGATCTCGCGGCCGTGGCCGCCGGGCTTGAGGGTGGCGTGCGGGTCGCGGGCCTGAGAGAAGACGCGCATGCACCCCGCCTTGGTGAAGACGAATCGGAAGCCACCCGTTGCCGCGCCCGCAGCAGAAGCACGTGGCGTCCAGGCGTAGCTTCGGGATGAGCCCCCGCAGTCGACGGTCGCGACCTCGTGACGGTGGTGGTGGGTTTCGTTCCAGACAACCAGGCTGTGACTGCGGAAGCCGCATAGCATGAGGTCTCTTGTCTTTGTTGCTATCGCGCCAGTACCATGGTCGCCGTTATCGGAGGAGGAAGAGGAGAGCCAGGCCCCCTCGATGGAGGACACAAACGGCGGTTGTACCTCGTGCAGCAGCACCGCAGCGGCTGCGGTAGCCTGGTCTGTCCCCGTCGTTATAATCTCGTGGATCCTGTACTTGCCGTCGCGGCACGTGCTCAGGACGTAGTTGTGTGATTGGCCGTCTCGGCTACGGAGGGGGAGTAACGAGGTGATTGCTTCGTTTACCTGTACCACGAACGTGAATAGCAGGGCGTAGCGGTCGTCGCCAAGTCTGTGGAAGACGGCGACGGCGCCTTTCCTCGACCCAATGATGAGGTAGCCCTGACTAAAAGCAGCCGCCGTAACCATGAACCCCGGCTCCAGGGTGACCTCGAGCTGTCTCGTCGTCAGATCATCAGGATCGATATGGACGATGGCGGCCCGGGTGCTTCGCAGCGTAGTAACGAGAATTTCCGAGCAATTCCCACTGTGCGCTACTTCTTCTTCGCCTGCTGTGACATGTGATTTTGTCGCATTGGATAGGCAGAAGATCTGTGCGACCTTTCCTTCTATCTTGGTCAATAATCGAAGGGATGGGGCGCCTAACTCGTCAAAGTAGTAGATCTCGCCACCGGTTGTGCCGACGAAAGCCATCGGGTTCGCCCCTGGCGCCCTGAGCAGCGCGTGCGAGAAAACTATCTGGCCAATCTCGTCTGGCAGGTTCAACTCTGCCCACAAGATGTTATCGGTATCCTCGTCAAAGGTACCGGCGAACACTCGGCCGGAATTGGTGGCTGCGAGCAGCCGCTTGTCGGACACGAATGTATATCGATTAAACCCCGCCCTCGCGTTCTTGGGTTTTACACTAGAGGGCGCCGTGATTTGGCTTTTTGAGATGTCATCCAGATTTCCCTCTGCAGTTATTGTCCTCTGGCATGATTGCGTCACGTCCGCAAGAGACCACGCGACGGCCTTACCTCTGTCTATGGCGTCGTCAGTAGATGATGTTGGCCCATTACTTGATATTACTGGAGGGAAACGACTTGAACCAGCCCCTATCAAAGCAACCTTTCCATCCGCGCCGCCCGTCGCAACCAGCAGATCACCACTTGTAGTAGAAGCTGTAGCATGTGACCAGATGTGTTTTCCGCTATGGCTTGAAAAGGTGGACTGATGCGTTACTTGAGCGGCCGGGCCCAGCGAGAGATACCATTTCTGGGCGGTAGCATCTTCGCCAAATGAATAAAGCTCGACCACATCGGAAACGTGGGATAAGGCCTGGACTTGCGGAAACTCGACCTGCCATATCCTCGAGATGTGACCCATGACCGTTGCCACGCACCTGGCCGAACCGCCGTCCTCGTCCTTTATGGTAACATCGACGTTGTTGCCAAATCCGGTCTCCCGTGCACCTGAAATGTGGGTTTCGTACTCCTGCCTCATGTGTTCCTGCTTGCCGTGTCTCTCAGTGATGTTCCAGACCCGAATGGTCCTATCGTCGCTGCAACTGGCCAGCAACCTCAGCGTCTCTCCCTTCGCGGTCTGGATCTCGGGCGAGATATGGACGCCAAAAATGGACCCTTCGTGACCGGTGAAGACGAAGAGAACTTCCGAGTTTTGGCTGCCTTCCGGCGACTCACAGAGGTGACATTTCCACACGAGAATCTCGCCGAACACCGTACCGGCAGCTACGAGCACGCAGTCCTTGGACACCCAGAAGAAGTTACCTGAGTACAAGATCGGTCTCGAAGGCGACCTGGTGCTGTCGAAGACGAGCGTGTTCCGACCGGCGTCGACGTGGGCCAGTATAACTTCGTTATGCGCGGTAAGTAGAACGATGCGGCCGTCCCCGAAGGGCGAAACCCTCCCGTCGAATATCCAGTCCGGCGCTCTGGCCTCTACAGCGCCCTTTGCCAGATCAAGGCTTCCATCACGACTGGAAATAAGGGTCTCGAGGATGTCTCCTGGGATCACTTTGATAGAATGTCCGCCCCAGACAAGTATCAGACGATGCTGCTGGGACGCATCTTCCGAAGACACGACAATCCCGTGAATAGACTGAGCCCGAAACACGGGCAACTGGCCACAAAAGCGTGAAGTGTGAACATCGTAGACCTTGATGTCAGTGTCTTCGCCAGCTAGTACATATTGCTTGCCATTGGTGGGTGACTGGTAAAAGGCCAGGGCCGTGATGGGATTTAATACATGTTCCCTACGGATATGGCCTTGGCCCAGGGTAGCTGTCTATGTAACACGATTAGTGGTTAGTTATCATTTATCAATTATCAGTTGTTGAATTCGAGGATACTTATACCATGTCCACGTGGGTTGTGGATGCTAAATTGGGTGTGTCGGCGTTTTGGCGGGGTTCATGAGGCATGGGAAATTTCGTCATTTGGTGATAGCACTTACCTTGCAAGACATCGAGAGCCGACTACTTGGCGCTTTTGCCAGATGGCAAGCACGAGACAAACTTGAGGGTTTATACCACGTCCTACATAAGACCGACCCCTAGATGTGTTTCGATAAAGTTTCTTCAAATTCCCAAGAAAATTTCTGCCACAAGAATAATGCACGTGATTGGCCCATCATTGCGACGAATGCTTGCCCATCTGTTTCACTACTTCTCAAAATCCAAGAATTCACATTTGGCGACACACGTCTTCATTTCATTGCAAATATTCGGCTCATCATATTTATTCTTTATGTCAAGTAACTACCATAATAGCCTGGGTATTCCCTTCACGTCAGAATGAAATTGCCTTCTAAATTCATTAGCCCAGAACCTCCCCATAAAGTCATTCGGTCTTCGTCATTCCCCGAGCCCAAACGCCGGCATGATGTGAAAACAAAACTCCGTTGTCTATCTATTTAATGAGACACCTAACCCATCCACTTTTTCGAAACCGATTCTCACGCTTAACGAGCGTGAGAGTACGGCTCGTAAGCCAAGTCCGAGCGGGCCCCACCACGTTGCGGAGCGCCGTAGTTGTAACCAGAGTTTCGGTTCTCGCCGCCAATCGGAGCGTAGGAGCTGGGCAGGAACTTCTCGCTCTCAGAGCCGCCTCTTGAGCGCTTGTTGTAGGGGCGGTGCTCGGGCTTGCAGCAGCAGATGGAGAAGAGCCAGAAGAAGCTAGCACCCATGGCGAAGGCGACACCGATCCAGATGCATGCCAAGAAGTTGTTGCTGAAGCTGGCGTCACCGCCGTACTGCCCAATGGCGCCCTTTACTACACCGACTACGACAGCAGCCATGGCAGTCATCATAGCAGCAGCAGCGATGACGAGCAGGGTCGCGATACCGGAGACGAGCCAAGTCACGCACGAGACGAGGCGAGAGCAGGCGGTGAACAGACCGATGACAAGCTCTAGGCCAAGACCGATCATGGCAATGATATACACGACTTCGGTCCACTTCATGAGGGTCTTGAAGGTG